GGGGGGTATTATTTTCATACATTTCATCTCCATCACATATTATAAACTAATTGATGATCAGAGTGTCAGTTTCATTTTTTTTAAATCCATTCTCTAGATCTTTATTAGTGTTGGGAATCGGTTGAGATTTCAACATCGATGATCGGATATAATTGGTTAGTGTCAACAGATCAATTTTCGATTATTAATCAGTTAGTCTACCGTTACATAATCCTTAAAAAAAATGGCATGGGTTTTCCTTTTATTAATACTACTAATGAAATTTCAACTTTTCCAAATAGTTTCGCATCTTTATTTTTTATCATATCATTTCAGCGTAACAATCATTATTCAATTATTGATGAACAGTTTAATATCCTTTACATATTTTTTGCAATTAATTATATTTAAATAGCATGATTGGTAAGAAGTTATAGTAAAGAGTAAAATGACATAGAATTCTCATTCTCTCTTTAATAGTGAAAATGAAAGTAGAATTCGCACTTCCGGTTTTGAAAACAATCATCGATGTTGACATCTCATAATCGATTGTCGGGAATTGTTTGCCTTTCCGATAAGATATCGACTATAGTCGATCATCAGGACAACACTAATCTTTTCAATAAAAAGTTGTAATGTGGAATTATTTTATGGAAATGAGACACAATGAAAGAAAAAAAACTCTGAAAGAATATTACAACATTAAGTGTAAAATGGGTGATGGGATTCACAAATATAATGTCTCCATGCTCCCTAATATTTCTAGAATGGCCATTAGGTAAAAGCTACCTGGTACTTCAATTTATTTTTGTTCTCTTACCGCATTTGAATTCTTTTCAATAATGACATTTCGATGTCATTTGATATTTTTACGTAAATTTCACACTTTATGTATTTCTATTACCTTATCATAAGAACTTTTCTCTTAAACTTAAGTTCTTACCTAGCATCCCTGTTACATTAGAACGGAAAGACCAAAGTCTCTTCACCGCTCGCCGTGCAAAGGCTTCATATGTCGGATCTCCCAGTAATCGTGACAACACACCAAATTCTAGCACCAGAGTACCGGCCCCAGCGGTACAAGTTGTGTTAACGCTATTTACTGGCACACCATGCTTCAAGTTGACCTGTCATAAAATAGACAGCTCCAATCAGCTACAGCAAATCGTGTCAGGTACAAGATTATTTATACATCTCTAGATCTCTATTCTACCTTCTATATTGTTAGTACATCTACAATTTTTTCTTTTTTTTTTAGTATATCAAATTCATTTTTTCTATCTTTTTTTTTCTATACAAATTTAAAACAAATAAATGAATCTCCTTTTAACTCCCATTATTGAATGAATACCATACAATTATATAAAATGTTATGGAGTTAGATGACCCATAAACAAGATCTTAGTTTGTTTTAGCGACATCTGTTGCACAGACATTATATTATCAATATTGCAGTAATTCAAGGGGCATATAATCAATATGAAACTTTTTCCAGAATTATCTCCCTTTCAAAATATTACATTCACCCCTGAAGACGCATTTGAGCTCTTCCAATTCAAAGGTGGAATATTTCATTACGAAATTTCAGGGATAAATGAGTTAAAAATGTTCAATGAGAACACATTGTGAACATTGATTTTACCGACATGATGAAGGAAACAAATGTAAACAATCTGTTCAAACAAAAGGTGTACATGCCATTATGATCCATAGATTTGTTATAGATAGATATGAAATAAAGAATAAGAGTTGACATTATAAGTATCTTCTACCTGAAATGACCAGCAGGTTATAAACTAACCACATGCTAGTATTTTTTTATGTAGCCCTGTATACCATATGGCATGTATGGTAAATTTACGGAAGATTAGACCCCTATTCTGTTCTATAGCTAGTGCTAACCATCAAGTTTCCTAAAATGTGGGTGTATGAAAACAAAATTGCCCACATTATAGATACATATACTGTAGTTGATCTACTATATTTTGCTTGATGTTTATCTAAATATTAATTTACAAGGAGAGCAGATCATAATGATATTAACAGTCATTGTTTAGAAATGAGGTATTATAATTATATTTGGTGAATTCAAATTCTCTGAAAATTAATCATCATTCAAAAAATAATCACAAAAGTAAAGTAATAAATTTATATTATAAATTTAGGAACAAAATGAAGACAAAATGCTATAATGAGAATAACCCCGAGAGTGGACTGACCCTGGGAAATGGAATTCCTGTGGCTGTGTTTTCAAAAGCTGGAAGCAGTCTTGTGGCAAGGTCGTTGGCCAATGAAAGAAGCTCGTTGTCATATTGAGGAGGGACCATGTCTCCAAAAGGTTGATTAGGGTCGGTGATGATGAGGTGGGCGGACAACAAAGAACCAAGGACCCTGCATACAATAACACATCTCCACAGTAATTATCTATTTGGTAAAGAAGTATGGCTAACACGGTATAGGGCAATAATGATGAAATGTTAACAAAAAACACAAAAACCGAGATGAGATTTTACGTCAAGTAAATGCATTTATGATTAAAATATCCATAAGCAGCAGGAATAATCTTTCCTATATTCTCTTTAATTTTGAAATAAACATCCCCTATGATTTCATTTCAATGTAAATTTCACCAAAATGACTCATTCCCATTCAAACTTAGGATTATCTATCTCTTGTTTTGTATTGCCACTGAGAGCTTTCACAGATATATTGAAACAGCAAAAGTTACTGTAAGTCAGATTATTGAATATTTGTACAAATAAATAAACACAAACAAACTTTCATGTTTACAGTAATTTCATAAAAGACTGGTAAACAGATACATGTATAACATCCATGATTTAATCAATATATATCAAGATTATAATTTCATTCCTTTTATGAATTAAGATATTTTTACATTTCGTAGCTTATTTCATTTAATAAATAAACTTCTTTTTAAAGTGGTAACATTTACTAAGTTTTGTTTTCATTTGTCTTTGATAAACAAATGAATTCAAATATTTTTTTGAAATATACAATTGGTGTAAAATGAAGATACTAACCTTATGGTTGCCTCGAAGACTTGGATTGTGTTGGCTTTCTCAAATGAGAGATTCTCTACCACCAGACTAACTGCTCTCTTGAATTCTGAACTGTTACCCATTATCTGTCAAACACAAAACAATAAAACTGACAAACATCAAACAAAGAATGTGTAACATTTAGCCAGTCTACATATATATCAGTGTTCTCATTACAGAAGCTGTTTGCTGGTATAAGTTGCCAACTAACAGCCACTAATCGCCAACTTTCAAATGCAACTGGCTACCAATTGTTTAGAATACCGGTTTGTACAGATCAACACGATTATATGAAAATGTCCAGTTTGACATGTATGTTAAATATACATCAGTCTGTGTAAATGTGGAGTGTTACAAATAGCTAGTGTAAAACATTTTAAGGTATAGCATTGTAACAGGAGAGGAAAAATGCACGGCCAGACCAGGGTTCGAACCCAGGACTCTCGGAACTCCAGACGGACGCTCTACCAATTGAGCTATATCCTGTTGCCTACGATCGACCCAGTCCAGTTCTGCTACATTCCTCCCTCCTTTTTCTAAGTTGTTGCCCCCGAAGACACAACTATTTACAAGCCAGGTCCGGGTTTCCCCTTGTCAAGCATACACCAAATGCTTGAAACAAGGGTTGGTCACAGACACCACTGTAACAGGAGAGGAAAAATGCACGGTCAGACCAGGGTTCGAACCCGAGAGGGCCGAGACCCTTCGAACTCTGGACAGACGCTCTACCAATTGAGCTATCTCGTCGCCGACATTCGACCCAGTCCAGTTCCGTTACAGTTTTAGCGATACATACTGCTAGGGTGTCCAATGAATCCACCAGTGTCAGTATATAGTCGCCCAGAGCATCATTGATGTTGATATTAGACCTGCAATTATAGATTAACAATGCTGGGAAATGTGATAACTAATTGTTAGCATGAAGAAAGTAAATATAACTTGATTTATTAGAAAATCTTATTGTTTATTGAATTGAACACCATACAAACTTCACTCATTTGTCTGATTATGCAAACATCAGTATACTATCATATATATGAAATGTTATTAATAATAACAATGTATTGTATTTGATGGGAAATCCTTAACCTTTCAACATTGTTTATAATTTTATGCAAAAATCTTTTTGCAATTTGATACAGTTCAAAATCCCATCCAGACATGATGTAGGCTAATTTAGTAATTACTAACCAGTGGCATATAATTTCCTTGTGTGGTACATTGTATTACCATATATGACAGGGCTACTTTCAAAACCATGGGTTCTCAGGCTTTACCTTGCCTCAACATGTACCTGGACAATCATTACAAATATCTATAAATACAAAATTTGTAACCATTTAAAAAAAATAAACTTTGCTTATTTAATAACAAATTAATTAATTTCATTTATGAAACAAGTTATTTCAACTTATATTAATCACTCTTGTTGGCCCGGATGTTGGCAGGCAGGGGTCTTATTGTGGGAGGAAACAGGAGTACACCTGGAGAAAACCCACGTCATCGGGCAGGTGACCCCATACTAGAACGAATATTCATTCCCTGCCTACTCTCCGCTCTGCCGCAATATATAAAAAAATGTCTCATCGTCAGAAAGCTACGTTATCGCAGCTAACCCCATACATGTTCACGTCCGATCTGGGAATCGAACCCTGGCCGCCTTTGTGAAAGGCAAGTGCACTATCCACTACACCACCCATGCATTTTATTTTTCCAAATTAAATGGAATATGCTGAAAAATACTATAGATATGGGCTTAACAAAATGCAGCTACAAATTACAATGTAGCTTGAACGATCGCAATCTAAATATCTAAGACAGAAACTGTGACTATTGATTATAATTAGGTGCATATAGTAAACTGAATACACTTATGGCAAATTATCTTATGAACGAAGTAACATGTTAAACAATATTAATTTTGCTGGCAAATCCCAAAAATCGAAAAAGCCTATATTTAACACCATTCTTCTGTTCATAATAAGTAATGTTTTTGTCGGTTCCAGTGTGATACGTACGGATCGGCATGGTCATGTCCCCGTCCAGTGCAGTAAATTGGATTAAGTTCATCGTCCGGGAAAGCATACTTTATATAATTGTCGTATCCGAAATGAAACATACGTTTTGTTCCCTCCAACATTTCCACTCTCTCCTCATCGGAAAACTCGCCATATTTCTTCCCGTTCACAGTGTTGTCGTTCCAATATCTATGTAAACCCTGGATTTTGTATGAGAACAAAACCATGACAGTGAAGAAAAGTATCACCTTTTTCATAATAGCCCATTACTTTCTTCTGAGTTACAGAAATAGGTTTCTCGATAACTCAGCTAAAGTTAGACTTTTGTTACCGGAAGTGCCCTGCAACACCTCCTAATAATACTGCGCATATAAAAAGTAGTTCTTAAAATATTCATTCATGAGTTCACATGTCAAACCGACTTTACAAATCGCAGAGGAATTTCAAATGTCTATAGGTATAGCTGACATCCCGATGTTTACTTATGAAACATATCAAAACACTGGTCAGCGCGAACGAAGTCGAGAATTCCCGTGTTAACCCAATCAAAATGGAGGACGTGGACTATTTCGCATGCGGGAAATCTCAATTAAAGAGTCTCGCGCCGTCGATGCGACGAAAACCGTTTAATCTCATATTTGGAAAATTAATATAACGATGCATTTAGGACACTCAATTTTCATTATCCATGTACATTCATGATTGGTGTATATACAGTGCCGCTTATAACGGGCATCCATAAAATGTTCGACCCCTCCCCTTTTAACAAATTTAATTCGAGTTTAGATACTATAGAAACCAGGGATGTGTACACATCCCTGTAGAAACTAATAAAAATAAAGCGATAACATTTCTTCTATATATAAGAGTCTCTTATTGGCATTTTAACGAATGCACAAGTGATCAGTACCATTATGGATCTAAAAAATACGAAACCTCGCGTGGTAAAATTTAAGGATAAGCTTACATATGTAAATGTAGTTTTAAATTTAGATACCATTCGTTATAATTGATGTTTCCTGGATACATCAATTTAAAATTACATTTACATATGTAAGCTTATCCTTAAATTTTATATGAGGGAGCGGAGCCCAATCGTGAAAGATATTCACGATTCAACTTATTAATTCATCGACCAATACGTGGGGTAACTCTGTGGTAACGGGAAGGTACCAGATATTCAAGGAAACAATCCATGGACGACCTTCATCGACCGACGAGTTAGATTGGTAGAGCTTTTTCTCAGAACTCAAGACAGAAATCGACGACCATAAGATACACAAAATGAAAGGAATGCCGAAGATGTTGAGGAAAAGGACGAAGTGAATTTCTATCGATTTACTTGTGGAATTCGAGAACAAAACTGTTTCATTCTTGTGAATTCAATTTGACATTCTTATGAAATTTGAAAACAAAAACTGTGATATTCTTATGGATTAATTGAACATTCTTATGGGATTTTATAACAATATCTGACTTTCTGGATTTATTTTGATCGCAGTATAGTATATGGGGCCTCGGTGCCCAAGTGGTAAGGCGTATGACATTCTGCTATCACTAGCCCTCCACCAATGGGTCGCGGGTTCGAGACCTACGTGAGGTAGTCGCCAGTTACTGGCCGTAGGTCGGTGGTTTTCTCCGGGAAATCCGCCTCACAGTGACCTGAGATTTTGTTACAGCTATATTTGGACCTAAACTAAGGTGTTCAGAGTAACTTTACATGTTTTGGGGGTTTAGATCGACTTTCGGTAAAAATGACCTTTTGAAAACCTCATATATGCGCGTACAATATATTCTCCTACCGCGGACATGAACTCCGTTTCCTCCTAATGTAATGCACACGCCATTTCAGGGATTCAAAGTTTTTCGCATTCAGCGCCTGCCACTTGTTTTGAATATTAATGATCGAAGTTAACGTCAGCAACGTGCCGAGACCAGTGGTGTGATTGGCTGGAATTCGAAGTGCATCCATTTCTCGCTAAACCAACCAACACTTCATATTTCAACACTGCGAAAAACTTTGAATCTCTGAAATGGCGTGTGTATTTGGAGGAAACTGAGTTCATGTCCACGGAAGGAGAATACATTTTACGTGCATATATGAGGTTTTCAAAAGAAAAATTATCCATCTTTCTATCGGTACTAAGCATTTTCCCGTAGATCAACTAGAAATGTTGTTTTTGATGCAAGAAAGTTATGGCATGGGGTCGACATTTCGACATCGAGAGCTTTCCGCCCTTCTCCTATATATGATCATTGGGGGTGTCATTTTTTATAGGAAATCGATCTAAACCCCTAAAACATGTAGAATTACTCTCAACACCTTTTATTATAGCTGTAACAAATTCTCAGGTCCCTGTGGTCCGGCCTCCTTAAATTACCATAGCTGTTAATGGGACGTAAAACACAAACAAACCAAAAGCAATATTGTGACATTCGTACTTTATAAATGTATTTATGCGTGATGCCAGAGTGACTATGGACTTGCCTGATTTTTGTTAACGTTACAGGGGTAATCCTATAGGGTATGAAATTTCCAACTATTGGAATACATGTACATTAACTTGCATTGTAATTGAAACAGCATGATTTGAATTCCGTACTGTCAACTGTTATCAGGGTTATGTATATTTCAGAAACTGTTGTTTTTATATAGAACGGAGATGAAGTTTGCAGTAAATATCTTTCGTGATATATCAGCGTTATACGAGATAGCTGCGATAACATATAGCTTTCTGACGACGAGAGATTTTTTTTTATATATTGCGCCGGCCGGGACAGAGGAGGCTTGTTTTTAATATTAGAACTAATTAAGTGCCCATGGAATTTTTAAAAAATAACGTGTATGGTACAGACGTTTCTTTGCGTTTGTTTTATCTATTAGTAGTCATGGACGGGTACTATATGTTATATCCATGATAAAATGTATAGAAGTGCCAAGAGTTCGTCTGCAATTTATATTATATATATCAAGCCGACTATATAACGCTCTTTGTCGGATACTTATTAAGTGTCCATACAATGACGTGAAGTTTTACAATCTATGTTTTCCTTTAGATTATTATAGGTAGGGTAAACTCATCGTAAGTCGGACATGATCGCGAGTCGGACACATTTTAAAAGGGATACAAGATCCGTTTCCTTGAATCCTGTACTCTATGCGAGTGATCTCCCTGCTCACATCCCTATATTCCGTCTTTGCGTATTGCAGAGTTATCTTCTCTTGAGAGCAGGGATTGATTGTTACGTCATTGGTTTGTGGGAGTAACGTCATCATTTTTTGAGAAAACGACGTCATTTTCTCACACAAACCAATGACGTAACAATCAACACCTGCTCACAAGAGAAGACAACTCTGCAATACGCAAAGACGAAATAGGTGGACGGCGCGATATTCTAGCTAACTGTGATATTTATGATATCTTATTTGTGACTTTTATTATTTTAGCTGTAGATTAATCTTTTGTATGGATGATGATTTATCATGGTGTTATTGTCAAACGGTAACGTCTTCAGGATAGCACGGACTAAGATCTAATTCCGTGAGGATAGTAAGTCATGGAGTGATCAATTTAATCTTGTTAGTGATTATTTTGGTGTATTACGATGTTATGTACTTAATTTGTTATTACGTGGTACTAATGAACTCTGCATTATGCACTCTTCTGCACATAATGTTTTACGAGAGAGGTACACTTACGTGATTCTAAATACGTGACAATACTTTCTTGTTTATATTGAACAGTAGAGCATTGTTCAATGCGTTAAAGGAGGTAGAAGTGTAGCGATCTTCATTACAATGTTCTACATTATCATGGTCATACCTTAAGTATGTAGGTAGCTGACCAGAGACGTATAATACATACGTCTCTGACTGATCCACACATGTACATGTTGACCTCACGTTATTATATAGGGTTTTCATTTGCCCATGTTTGCCCGACATTAACCGATTGGGGTTCATTACAACACAACTAATGGAACAACACAACTAATGGTACATTGACAGCCTCTTATCAAATTCACGCTATTGTAATGGAGTAGGTATTAATTGTCTGTCGCTCGGGTCAACGGTTCCGTTGCTACATAACTCTTGGATTTTATTGTGTGTCAGATTCAGATTTCAGATTGTTTTATTCCTTGCGTAACACACATCGGATAGTAGACATACAAATAGTACAGTATATTACAAATTTACAATGATACATGTATACAATAATATTCATTAATCGTGCAGTACTTCAAAATGACATATAATAAGAGACAGCATTTTACACTGCAATACACCAACATCGTAAGGTTCCGATACAGTGCAAGCATAACAATAGTGTAACTTTCAATGACGTACGTTACAGGTAATGATAACTGGATTAATATAGTTACATACATTGTATCGCACATATGTCACGAATAAATACTCTCTAGTAGAACAGTAAAAAAAAACAATAAAATACACTGCCATAGTGTAATAAATACGATGTTACACCTGACGTTAGTGACAGTGATATTACGATATAGAAAATACTCGTCGATGTTTCGAAGTTGTTAATTATGATTAATTTACCATATAATTTATATCACATAGGAAAGGAAATGAACGGGCACAATCACCTTTTTTTTTACACAATATACACATAATACAAATATCTTATCAAATATGGTATACTGAAATGAACATTTACAGGAAAAATGAGATAAAATATTATACAGTGTTATTACGACGTTTTAAACTTAAAAACAGGAATTTTCCTAATTTATTTAATTCCTTAATGTTTTGAGTAGTAAATAACTGTATCAATTTGAAAACACTTGGTCGTTTGTAATAAAAAGGCTTAATAAACTCGCGACTTAAGTCGTTATAAAAGTTACACTTTAATATAAAATGAAATTCGTCTTCAATATCATTAGAGTTACATAAGTTACAGAATCTTTGTTCTCTAGGAAGGTTTCTATATCTTCCCTGTTCAATATTTAAATTATGAGAGCTAAGTCTAAAGCGAGCTAAAGTCTTTTTATATGAATTATCAATTGGTTTTATTAAATATGATTGCAAAGAGAAATTGTCTATTAGATGTTGATAAAAGAATCCTTTCGGAGTTGTTTGGATATTAGTTAATATTTCCTGCCGGTAAAAGTCAAAAAGTCTTTGCTCAATGATTGTATAGATATTTCTATCATTTCTAACATTTTCCCCAAAGGTAAGTTAAACCTAATTTGTTAAGTTCTGTGCGGATATCAAGAATCCAATTATCATTTGACAAAATTCTTTCCTCGTAACATGTTTTTAAAATGCAATTATTCGAAGTTTTTAATTTTAACCAATATTTGAAAATTTTCAGTTTTCTACATACAGACAATGGTAATCTTCCTAACTCACAATAAACTAAATTATTACACGTACTCTTCTTGACTCCGAGTAGCCTTTTACAAAAATGTATGTGTCCCTACCTGTACTACACAAGGTCATCATTAGCACCTTATTGATTTTTTTACAAGCTGTTTACGTAGTGTCAATATTACAGTGTATCGTTGATTGGCCCAGTTGCCCGACTGGTC